CAGCCTCCCACAGTGCTAAGATTATACGTGTGTGCCACCACACCTGGCAATGTTTACATTTTTGATATGTCTATGATTTCTTTTGGTAGAAAGAGTAAAATAAAGGCTTACCTTTCCCATCTTCTCCTTTCCAAAGGTCAGCCAAGTCTCCAGTGACATTTTTTTTCTTTTGGTTAGTCTATCTTTGCTATTTAGAATTACTATTCACATTCTGTGGTCCCAGATATATTTGGGTCTATTTTTGTATGCTGAATTGTTTCATTGATCTGCTTGTTTTTTCTTCATACAAAATAGACAATAAATATGGAGAAGACTTAAATTCTGTAATTGATATTCTCAGTAGATTTAAGAGAACATGGTATGAAAAAGGGAAGAGCTAAGCAGTTGGATGCAAAACAAAATCACCAAAGTATAGGCTATGAAGGAGACAGTACACAAAGAGAAATCCTATAGCAAATTCAATCAGTGAGTTAGAAGACTAGCTGGAGGATTCTGATGAAAATAAGAGATGGGGATTATGAATAAAAATGATGAGACTTAGAAGCTAGCACAGGAATGGATGGATGGATAGAAGGACAGATGGGTGGCCGGGTGGATGGGTGGCCGGGTGAGTGATAGAGGGATGGAGAGTGCTAAACTGGGAGGATGAAAGATTGCAAAAAAAAAAAAAAAAAAAAAAAAAGGACCAAGAATGGAAGATGAGAAATGACCAAGAGAAAAAGCTTGAAGACCAGTGCTGAGGGTGAGAAGAACTGTCAGTGGCCTGGCAATATTGAACAGACCCTGCTCCAAATGGGATGTAGAATTTTTTTTTTTTGAGATAGGGTCTTTCTATGTGGTCCAAGCTGGCCTTGAACTCTTGGTGATTGTCCAGCTTCAGCCTTCCAAGTGCCAGGATTCGAGGTGTGCACCACCACACCTGGCCAAGCTCTAAAAATGACTATGGCTGAGTCCTACATGTACACATACCACTCTTTATAATCTGATGACAGAGGCCCGGGCTGGCTCCATGCCTTTGATATTGTGAATTGTGTTGCAGTAAACATGAGTATGCAGGTGCCCAGCAGTGTGCTGGCTTTTATTCCTTCTTATCTCTACCAAGGAGGGGTAGAGCTGAGTCATGTAGTAGCTCTATTTTCAGTGTTTTGAGGACCCCCTACATTGATCTCCCAGGGGCTGTACTAGTTTATAAACCTAACAGCAGTGTAGAAAGTTCCTCCTCTTGGATGACGGCCACTTTCCTAATGGCTAAGGTTGTCAAACATTTCTTCATATACTTATTGGGCTGTGTGTATTTCTTCTGAGAAGTGTGTGTTCAATTCATTTGTCCATTTATCTATTGGACTGTTATTTGGGGGCGTCCTTAAGTTTTTCTGGTCTTCATGTATTCCTGATATTAACATTCTGCCAGAGTAGTACCTGGCAAGAGTTTCCTCTGTAGGTTGTCTCCCTACTCTGTTGGCCGTTTCCTTTGCTGTGCAGAAACTTTTCAATTCCTTGTAGTCTCTTCTTTAAAATTTTCTTTTCAATGGTACTGGGATTGAAGCCACATTGAACTATGCTCCCATTCCTTTTTAATTATTAAATTTTGAGACAATTTTGCTAAATCGTTAAATTCCCCAGACTGGGTCCAACTTGTGATCCTCCTGCCTCAGCCTTCCAGGATGCTGGGATTATAGGCATGCACCACTGTGCCAGGCCCCCTGGTGGATTCTTAGACTTATTTCCCATATCATTGGAGTCCTATTCAAGAAGTCTTTCCCTATGACTCTAAGTGTTTCCCCTGTTTCCTTCTAATGGTTTCAAAATTTCAGGTCTTGTATCTAAGTCTTTGATCCATTTTGAATTGGCTTTTGTACAGAGTGAGAGGTAGGAACCTAGTTTCTACCTTCTACATTCGGGTGTCCAGTTTTCTCAGTGTCAGTTATTAGGGAGGCTGTCTTTTCTCTCATGTACGTTTCGGGCCCATTTGTCAAGAGTCAGACGGTTGTGCTTGTGTGGGTGTCTCTCTGGTCTGTTCTGTTGCTCTGTCTCTTTCTGGGCCAGTATCGTGCTGCTTTTGTCCCTGTGACTTTGTGGCTGGTCATTGTCACGCCTCCAGCCTTATTCTTTTTACTTAGGGTTGCTTTGGCTAGTCTTCAACTTTTGGGTTTCCATATGCTTTTGTGATGGTTTTTCTGTTTCTGTGAAGGCCATTTGAATTCTGCTGGGGCCTGCGCTGGGCCTGCACATAGCGCTCGGTGATACTAATTCTGCCAACTCATGGACTTGGGACTTCCCGTCTTCTACTTTCCTTTTTTCAGGATTCTTCGTTGCAGAGATCTTTTACCCTTTGTTTAGGTTGATTCCTAGGTTATTTATTAATTTGTTTTTGAAGCCATTGTAACTAGAATTGTTTTCTCGATTTCTTTTTCAGCTTATTCATTTCTGAATCCTTAGTGCTGATTTTATATTCTGCAACTTTGCTGGATTCATTTATCAGCTCTAAAAATCTTCAGAGTTTTCTCAGTGTAAGATGGTATCATCTGCAAATAAGGACCATTTCTCTCTCTCTTTCTTTCTTTCTTTCTTTCTTTCTTTCTTTCTTTCTTTCTTTCTTTCTTTCTTTCTTCCTATTTCTTTTGCCTAATTGCTCTAGGAAAATCCCAAGTACTGTATTGAGTAGGAGTGGTGAGAATGGACTTTGTTGTCTTGTTCTGATTTTAGAGGAAATACGTTTAATCTTCTTCCATTCAGTGTGATCTTGAGTACACTGTTGAATGTGAAAACTAATACATGCATAGAAAGCGTATCTTTTTGGATACTCAGTTTTATGGGTAATTATCATTTGAAAAAGAAAAGATTCTCACTAGTCTTGACTTATTGTTTCTTTTTGTGCAATACCTACATACCCTGGTTTTATGATCAGGTTATTTTTTCCTTTGGGGAAGAATAAAAACTTGTATTTCTAATTTAGGGCCCCTATTTTGGGTACCAGGTGGCTATGAGTTTCCGAGGAAACTCAGCCCTTGGCTGTCCCTGCAGCTCCTCCTTCCCTGTCTTCCCAGCCCTTTGTATTAATTTCCCATGGTTGCCATAACGAATTACCAGAACTCAGTCACTTAGAACAACACAGCTTTATTATGTTACAGCTCTGTAGGTCACGAGTCTGCTGTAGTTCTCATGGGACTAAAATCAAGGTGTCACAGGGCGGTTCCTCCCATTTCCACAAACAGCTGTGGAGCTCAGTTTAGGGAGGCCTCGGTTAGGGAGGGTGAGGCAGGTCTGTAACTTCCTGTATAATGTATCAGCAGTAGCACGGACTGATAGCTGGAAATGTCAGAGATGCCAGGAATCAGTGTAATAAAACATTAAGGATAATTGATGGTTTTTTTTTTTTTTTTTTTTTTTTTTGGTCTTTTTCCTTTTTATCGGTACCAGGGATTGAACTCACGACCACCTGCTTGCAAGGAGGTGCTTATGCCGTTGAGCTAAATCCCCAGCCCCCGGATAATTGATGTTTTGGAGTTGTGGCTATCACTGTCATAGTTCTTCACATTTGTGTTTGAAAAATTCTTTTAACAAAATGAAAAGAATCCTAGGGTACACTGTTAGCCAGATGAATTGGGCTTTCATTCATTTATATATACCAGTACAAGGTCAGTGGTTCTCATTGGAGGTGATTTCGACCCCAAGGGACACATAGTGAAGTCAGCCAACATTTTTAGTTGTCACAACTGAGCCACTGTTGCTAGCTTTCTGGGGGTAGAGGCCAGGGATGCCAGGGAACTTCTCCCAGTGCACAGGACAGCCCCGCAGCAAAGTCAGGCCCCACTGTCAAGAGTGCTGGTCTGGAAGAGAACTGACAAATGTCTGCATCCCTGAATGCGTGCATTCACACATACGCACGTTTCATGCCGTCTTGGTTACTTTCTCATTGCTGGGACAAACTGTCTGACACAAGTCAAAGGAGGAAAGGTTTACTCTAGTTCATAGTTTTTGAGGTTTCAGTCCACGGTCAGCTGGCTCCGAGGCAGAGGAGAAAAAGTCCATTTCGGGGCAGGCGGGAGGCAGGAAGAAGCCAGCCTATGTTCCCTCTCTCCCTGGATATTCCTCTCTGACTATAAACCCGTCGATTAGTGTCACCCACACCCAGCGTGGGTGGGGCCTTCATCTGTAGTAAATCCATTCAGTCACACAAGAACCATGCTGATCCAGGCATTGGGCTGTCCAGTATCATTCTGGGTCCTGCCACCTTTGAAAGGCCCTACCTATGAGCACACGAGGGTTTGGGGGAGCACCTAGACACAGACCATATCATGTATTTACATATATTTAAGCAAAATTGGACGTACAATTTGTGATTCATGGTTTCATAATCTATTGTTAGTTTCCCAAGTAGTGAAATTGTCTTTCACATCATCCCACTTTAATGGTAATCATAGATCATACGGTGTGGTTTATTCCAGCTCTTTTCTGGTTTTTTATTTTCTTAACTTACTCATTTTTTGAGACAAGGTCTTGCTATGTAGTCTAGACTGACCTTGAACTCACTATATAGCCCAGACCTCGTTCTCAGACCTACAGGGATCCACCCACCTCAGCTTCCTGAATGCTGGGATTACAGGCATGCGCCACCCCGCCCAGCTTGATTCTGGCATTTTAGGTGGTTTCCCCATCCTCAGGGGACCTCAGTAGACTTGAGCTGCCCTGTCAGATGAATCTGTGCTCAATGATGTGAAGGTCCTGGTCACCCTGGGGACTGACCAAGCATTTGTTTTTGGAGTGCCCCAGAGTTGCCATCCTTTTGCTGGGTGGATGGTCTCGAGGCTCACCAAGCAGGGGCAGCCGCTGTCAGTGTGGCGTCTCACCAGGCCTGATCAGCACTGCACAGCCCAAGCTGAGGCTGGATTGGGCAGAGCTATCCAGTTTGATTCCCTGTCGCCCCACCTGCTGCCCAAGTCCTGTTTTGCTCCCAGGGATGCAACCTGATTCACACCTCCCTCTTGTTTCAATTGCAGAGCTCTCTTTTGGATGAAAAGACCGGAAGAATGGATTACAGTCACCAAACTTCTCTAGTCCCATGCGGTCAAGATAAATACATTTCCAAGTAAGAGCCTTTACCACGGCATGGTGAGCCAGTTCTGTGTGGGGACGCTGTGGGTGGGTGCAAGTCACTGAGCAGGCCTCCTCTGTGAATCAGGCATTGAGAAGTAGCCAGGTGCTGCATGCAGACTGGTGAGAGCAAGGGCAAGCCTGCAGCTGTGGGTGTAGACAGGAGCTGAACCGGATGTGTGTGTGTGTTTGTGTGTGTGTGTGTGTGTGTGTGTGTGTGTGTGTGTAAAGAGGGGCAAGACAGCACATTTAGGGGTTCAGGAGAGAAGGTGTCCTGGAGGCTTCTGGAGGGAGGAGCTGGCTGATGCTTGCTCTGATCTGAATGTTAGTGTCCCTTAGAATTCATACTTGGAATCCTACCCTCCACTTGACAGTGTTAAGCAGGTAAGCTTTGGGAGGTGATTAGGTCAAGAATGGGGTACCCCATAAGTGAGGTGACCTTATAGGGTGCTCTGGGGAGCTGGCCACCATCTGATGTTTGAGGATGCAGGCGAAGGGTGGTCCAGGAGGAATGGCCCCTTGTAGGGCACCGTGGCCGCTGCAGCTTGGCCTTGGGCAGCCTGTTCTCTGGAGCCGTGAGAGCCCATAGGGCATGCCCTATGCAGTGTTGCCCAGGCCCTGGCTGGAGCACTGTGTCCCTGGGCATCATGCCTCCTTCTTCAATGGCCTGGGGCACCTTCTGAGCAGAAATGGTGGATTCGTTGCTTTCTTTGCACTGAAGTCTCTAGAACTCAGACTTTCACTGACGTGATAGAGGCTGAGCCAAAATCGGCTTCCTCCACCAGGAGCTTTCGGGTCTGCTGTGTCCAGTGTAGGAATTATACTTGATGGATGCTCTCATCTGAGATTATCTGGCACTAAGCTGTTCTAGGCTCATTCAGTCAGACACTGGTGCCTGCCATGTGATGCAGGACAGAACAACATCCCCCTCTTCCTCCTCTCCTCGTCCTCCTTTTTTTGTAGTACTTAGAATTGAATTCGGGCCTTCACACTGAGCTCCCCAACTAACTAACTTCCTTCCTTCCTTCCTTCCTTTCTTCCTCTTTCTTTTTTCTGTCTAGACAAAGCCAGGCTGAGTTGCCCAGGCAGGACTTGAATTTCTGATCCTCCTGCCTCAGCCTGCCCGAATGCTGAGATTGCAGGCCGATGGCACTATGCCCATCGTGAGAGCCAGAACATCCTTACCTCTTTGGTGAAGAATTCCCCAGGGACTTTACTGCCCAATAATTGTGCTTGCAGTTTCGGATCCATGCAGCCCTCAGCACCAGCTGCCCTCTGTGCTAGGTTATCTGGAGTCACACTTCTCACCAGTTCATCGAGGTTTTTTTAACTGGTCAGGGGCTCCTTGGAATTTCCAGTGGGTTTTAACTTCTGGTGTGGACCAAAATCTCCCCCACTGAATGGCTGGGTGGAGGGATATGGGACATGGTCACTTCTCGCCGGTGAGAAGGTTTCACCTCTCTCTCACCCTTTGTGCAGCACAAGGACCTGATGTACAGAAGGTGCTTTGGTCAAGAGCAGGAAGTCGCCCTCTCCCATTTACCCTGCCTGGTCCCCATGGGGCCTGCTGTCCTGAATCCTAACGCCCATTGCAAACTTCATGCAAATGGCATCTTAAAGTCTATCCACTCTGGAGTCTGGCTTCTGTCTCCCAACATATAATACCTGAGATTCACCTATGCTGTGCATTTGTCTTCCATATATTCATCCCTGTATAATATTCCATCACGTGACTATGACTTCCTTTATTCCTCCATCCTACAGTTGATAGGGCTTTATACAGTTTTGTTGTGATTTTATTTTTTGAAACATGTCTCACTATGTAGTCCAAGCTGTCCTTCAGCTGACTATGTAGTCCAGGCTGGCCATGTACTTGCAATTCTCTTGCCTCAGCCTCCCAATTGCTGGGATTACAGGTGTACATCATTGTGCCTGGCTGGGGAGTTCATAGTTTTTGAACACATAGTAAGGTCACGTCCGTGAAACCTAAATTGGTGTGGCCCAGACCTGTTCCTGTTGGCCTTTTGGAACATCCAAAAGTGTCAAGTCCATCTTCTCCTCTCTCACAGTGTGCGCGAGGGAGGGGAGTGGTGGAGGGCAAGAGAAACCTGTCCAAGGTTTGCGGGCCTGGAGGGTGCTTCTCTCCGAATTTGTGAGCTGCTGCTGCTGCTCCTCTCGCAGGCTTCGTTTTTGGTCAGACACATCAGCCTCAGCCTGAGATGAGGCTGCCTTGGGTCTGGAGCTGCTTCTTATGCAGCCTGTTCTAGCTGACTCTTGGCTCTGGCTGTGGGGGCCCTGGTGCTGTGTGTGTGTGTGTGTGTGTGTGTGTGTGTGTGTTCACCCATGTGTGCCTGCACTGGAGCCTGGTCAGAGGGAGATCAAAGTGGCTTCTGCTGAAAACGTTGTATTCTGCCCCCAGGAGTGAACTCCTCCTACACCTGAAGACCTACAACCTGTACTATGAGGGCCAGAACCTACAGCTGCGGCACCGGGAGGTGAGTGGTCCTGGAGTGGGCTTGGCAGCTGTGCCCTGTAGCATGCTGCTGGCTGTGCCTCTGTGAGTTCTGGGTCTGCAGGGCTCTGAGTCCCTGGGCTCCCACAGCGCAGTGAGAGGCCTGTCACTCAGGGCGCACCCAGCCTCTCTGCCTCTGAAGGGAGGCCCAGGCCCAGCACAGCCCTGTGTGTGAGAGTGGCCAGCAGCATTGCCTGGGCAGGGCCCCAAAGGAGGTTTTCAGGAAACCCCCTTCTCAGATGGCTCCCAACTACGTGGACTCTTGCTGGGTGGGGCGGGAGCCTTCCCCAGTCCTCTGTGTTTACACATCTGGGCTCAAGTCCCATCACTGTGGCCACCAGGCATGTCACCCAAGCTCTGGGTTGCAGCTGCAGCTACGGTCTCAGAAGGTACATTGCTGTCCCTGACTTGCCCCAGCCCCCATCCCGAAGCTAAGTTACTCCTGCTGGGTCCATTTCTGTAAAGCCTTTATCAGATCAAAGACAAGTTATACAGACATCTGGTAGAGTAATTTATACTCAAGTGTTCTTGACTGATAAGAAGGCAGGGGTAATACCCTCTCCAACACATTTTCAGCCTATCAAGCCACAGCGATTCAATTCATGAGACAGATAACAGATGGAATTTCAGCTGCTCAGGCGGGCCCTTGGGGGATGGGATGAGGGAGGCAGTGGCCTCATTGTCCCTAACCCCCTTTCCCAGGTAAAATGCTGAAGTGGATTCAATCCCATCCAGCAGTCCTGTAGTGTAGCCTCATGAAGCAGGTCCTGCTCAGCAGGAAGGCCATGTGAACAGCCTGGGCTCCCTAAAGCCTTGCCCCCCGCCCCCATCCACGAATGCCCCAGAGTTGGCCCATTCCTCTCCTACCTCCTTTCCGCTCTCCCCATTGTCCTTGGCCTGATTTGCGACTTGCTCCCTAAGGATTTGGTCTCCACCTACCCAACTGACACCTGTGGACCCTACCCAGCAAACAGCAGTTTGGAAGAGCTTTTCTGAGACCGAAAAAGAGAAACCTGACCCGTTTAAACACTGTCCTCACAGCCTCTTTTAATTAGCAATTGGTCTGTGGGCAAGAATCGGGATCTTAAATGGCTTTCCTGGGGAATGGCTCACAGAATAAATCCTCACAGTGCCCGCATGGCTTCGTGGGTATAAATGGGATTTGTTTCTTTGGGATGGAATGTAGCAGTCTCTTAGGAAGGTCTCACATTTAGCTTCTTACCAGTCAAAGAGCTTTGAGCATAAATTTGGAATTCCTGCAGGATTTACTCACCTCTTGGAGAGTCATGGTGGAGCACATGAGGCCCTGGGAGAAATCTGATTAACACAGCCTCTCCCAGCCCATGACCACTCAACACCCTTTTAAGGCAACAGTCCCTATGCCAGAGGAGCTCGTGCTCTGCGGGGATGTGGCTTTAAATCTTCACCCAGCGGTCGGGTTGCTAAACATACATGACGGCCAAAGACACGTCCCTTTCTGTAGTGGGGGAGGGAAAATAGCTAATTCCAGAACTTCTTGCTTCTAATAGTGTCTCCCCTCACTTATTGGAAAAGATGTATTCTGGCCTTCAAAAACAACACAATGTTTTCATAATTTGCACTTGTGTATTTGAGTTTCACAGCAGCTTGTCTTTTGGGTGTGGGAATACTGGGGTTCAAATCCAGGGCCTCGTGCATGCAGTGCAAGTGCTGTACCCCTGGGCACCTCCCCAGCCCCTGTGTGCTGCCCTGTGAGGTCAGCTATAGGAGGGTGGACATCACAGCAGAGCGTGGCTTGCAGCCAGGAAGCGGGGGTCCCTTTCACATCTGCAGGTACACTCAAGAAGTCCTTGTCCCCAGGGTAGGGTTAGCTCTGTGGGGCTCTCCTGGCTCACCAGGCCCACTGTTTTGTGCGCAGGAGGAAGATGAGTTCATCGTGGAGGGGCTGCTGAACATCTCTTGGGGGCTGCGCCGGCCCATCCGCCTGCAGATGCAGGACGACAACGAACGTATCCGTCCCCCGCCCTCCTCTTCCTCCTGGCATTCGGGCTGCAACCTGGGGGCGCAGGGGTGAGTTGCGCAAGACAGGCCTGGGAAGTGATGGGGTGGGGGGTGGGGTCTTGGTGTGTGCCAGTGCACAGCCACCCTCGCCCCGTTCCCACCCCTCTGCTGCTCCTTGCTTCAGCTTGGGAAAGGGCGAGGGGTGCGCGGGGTGATGGTCCTGGCAATCTTCTCTGTCTCCAAGGAAGGGGCCTTGCTGAGCCTGTGTGACAGTGTCCAGCAGTGTGGAGGATTCCAGGGCCTTTGGGGGTGTCGCCAGTGGCTTCCTGCGGCAGCCTGTGGATTTCCAACAGGGATCAGAGCCCACATCCTCCCCCCGGAGCATCCTCCTCTGCTCTGGGGACATTCAGGGCTTGGCCCTTCTGATCAAAGGCCTTCCTAGTTTGGGGGAGACCTTTTCTCTTGAAATGTTTTGTTAGTGTACATTTGTGATATGTAATAAGTACACTCACCATCCAGATTTGGCATATACATGCATGTATCACATCTTGATCCTTTTATTGTGTCTTTTTTTTTTTGTACCAGGGATCAAACTCACAACCTCACGCTTTCCAGGCAGGCACTTATGCCTCTGAGCTAAATTCCCAGCCAACATCTTGATCCTTTTAACTTGCTGCCCCCTCATCCCTTCCCCCCTTGTCCAGATCTCCTTCCAGTGTGTTTCCTGCCACCCAGCTTTGCTTTTTTATTTTTATTTATTTAGTCTTTTTGAGACAGAGTCTTACTAGGCAGCTCAGGCTGGTTTTGAGCTCACTTTGTAGCCCAGACTGGTCTTGAACTTGCAATAATCCTCCTGCCTCAGCCTCCCAAGTGATGAGATTATGGGTGTGCGCTACCATGCCTGCCCTGCCACCTGGCTTTGATTTTGCTCTGTCACTTATTTAGACTTTGGGTTCCATGCCTGTTTCTCTGTATCCTCCATGGCCAAGAGAGGAGGGAAAGCAGCCCTCGGCATGCCCTGCCACTTTCTGGGCCATTGGCTTGGAGGATCATGATCAGCTTTGTTCCTCCTACAATATGCTGATGTTGGCGGCCTTTGGGCCAGAGCCCGGGTGGGGTGTGCCGGCCTCTCCGCCAAAACCCCAATGATATTTTTTTCTATTTAAATGAGGATCAAGCCCTCTCTCCCTGTTGGCCACGTGAAACGTTCTGTGAAACCCCGTGGCCTGGCAGCATCTTGTCTTTCTGTACGATTGAGGGCTCCTGCTGTGCATCCATGGCCCGGGGCTGATGTGGTTTCTTTCCAAGATAATTTACGCAGGAGAGCCCCAGTCTGACTGCATCGGGTGCTGGGAGGTCTGATCCATGTTCTTCGGTTTCATCTCACTTTGCTGGTTTCACACTGCTTTGCTGTCAGCACTTCTCATGGATTTGATTTGATTTCCAGTGGACCAAGCCCTGTCCATGCCTGAGCCTGACCCTTTCTGTAACATTCCGTTCCCTGCGTGAAATGGTATTTGAAATTCTACTTGACCGTGGGACCTTGGGCTAGGCTGTCAAAGGGTCTTTTCTTGGTCTGTATGCATGTTTCTTTTCTGCTCTGTGGTATCGAGCAGGTCTTGGTTGGCTCTTGGAACCTCAGATGCCTTGAGAGTTCCCAAGAATGTGGCCCAGATGCCAAGTTAACATAAGTGAGTGCCTGGATGGCTGTGATAAGAAGGGTGCTGGGGCCAGTTTCTGCTTCACTGAGAAAGAGGCTTTGGATCAGGAAGTGGGGCATGGTAGCTGTGGGTGCCAGTGACTTGCCAGTCCCTGGGAGGCTCTGGCTAGATCCATTGAGGGGCTCAGAAGCTTACGAATTATATTACAAGAGAAACTCAAAATTTTTTTTTTTTTTAAAGACAGGGTCTTATTACATAGCACAGGCTGGGCTTGAACTTGTGGAGATCCTCATGCCTCAGCCCCCTGAGTGCTTTGATTATGGGCATGGGCTCCCATACCTGGCACTCAGATTTTCACTTGGCTTTCCTTGAAACATAAAATCCAGTCTCTGCTGGGTACCAGGGAGCTCACCCTCTTCACCACAGGAAGTTCTTAAGTGGTCAGAGAGGATTCTTCTGTTGACTTGGGGTGTGTTCCCTGAGCTGCTTCTGTTGTCTCTTTCGGCTTTGAGGGATTGTTTGCCTGTTGTGGCTCTTTCTCCAGCGTGTGTGGGAACTCCCTCCTCCCCACCCTGAGGAAGCTGACATCAGTGTCCCTTGGAGCAGCAGCCTGCTCCCTCAGCCCTTTCAGATGCTGGAGCAGTTTTTGAGTTTTCCCTCCAGCAGAAACAACTGTGAACGGCAGTCCTGTCCCAAAAACTAATGGCTGTTTTCAGGCTTTTTCAAATGAGCTGTAGAACTCACAGGTGCCTAGATGCTCAGTGCAGACAACACTCGGGTTTTGTGCTGGGACCGCTCCTTCCTGGGCTGGATGAATCGGGTGCTTGTGCTGCTGCAGATGTTGGAGAAGAACATCTTCTTTCTCTCGAACTCCCCCTCCTGCCTAGCACTCTGCTGGGAATGGGGCCAGTGCATCACCTGATGTGTGCAGTACCCAGTCTGGCCCAGGCAGAGCGCTTCCCTTGAGGGTAGGGTGGCTGGGAGAGCAGATCCCTGCCTGCAGGGAGCTAAAGCCATCTCCCTGTGTCTGTTTCCTGCCTCAGCACCATCCTGAAGCCTCTGACCATGCCTGCCATTCAAATCTCGGAGGTGGATGCCCCTGCTGAGGGTGACCAGATGCCCAGCCCCACAGGTATGTGCAGCACTGCTGTGCATGGTTATCCGTCAGTCTCTAAAATTCACATAGCTCAAGACTCAAGCACAAGTACTAAAAGGAAAGAAAGAAAAACACCCCACCTCCTCCCCTCCCCTAGAGCTTCCCTCCCTAACAACGCCCTGGGCATGTCCTCCTGGAGGGTCTCCTCTTCCCCATTTTATACAATTGGAGGCATTTTGCATAGGGCACTTTCTATTTATATTCATCAATTTATCTTGAGGTTTTCATACAACTGCAAAAAGAGCTTCCCCCTCCATTGTAGCTCCTTGGTGTTCCATTGTATGGGAAATGATCATTTATTCAATCACTCTTTTCATAAACTATTAGATCCTGGTCAGTCTTTATATTGTGACAACTCAGGTCACAGCCAGTGGCTTGGCACATGTGTCATTTTGTACATTGGTTCAAGAGGGCCCCCTGGATCTGAGGCTGTGTGCATCTGTAATTTTGACAGATATTGCCAATTTGCAAATCTCTCTCTAAAGTACGAATAGATCTCAATAAAAACAGTTCAACTCACTTGTGCTTCACAGTTCACTTAATGTTAGTGTTTTAGATTTATAGATAGAAATAGGTCATGGGCGTCCTATGTATTTATGTTCATGTGCTCTAGTAAGCAGTTTTCAAATTTTTGATTATGGTAAAATCATGTAAATATTCAGTCTTTACCATTTTAAAGTATTCAGTTCAGTGGTTCTAAATACATTCATAATGTTGTGCAACCATCATTGTTTTGTATTTCAGAACTCATCTTATATGCAATTTATTTAATTTTTAATAAACAACCGCTCCCCGTTTTCTGGTCTACCCCTGGCCCTTGGCAGGCGCTGCTGTGCTTCGTGTCTCTGTAAGGGGCACTGGTCAGAGTGGAATCGTATGGTGCTTATCAGTCTGTGATTGGCTAATTTCACGCATGCGTTGTCTTCCAGGCTCATGCGTGTTATTGAATGAGCCAGGATTGGTTTGCAAGGTCTTGCAAACCCTCGCTTCATGCTCACTTAAGTGCCCAGCCTTACTGTAACAGTTGTGGGTAGAGTCACTCTCACTGCAGTTCCAGAGCGTGGGTGTGGTCGTTACCCCACTTGTGGGCGAGCAAACAGGGACAGAGAGGCTAGCGACACAAAGATAAAGCAATTCGGAGTCTGGCCCTGAGGTCCAGCTCTGCACCCTTTATTGTATTGTTTCTTAATTATGTATCATGTTACTCCTCCTGCAGGATATAAAGTGTTCTGGAGCTGGACATTGTAGTTCACACCTGTAATTCAGATGGCTGAGTCAGGAAAATCATAAGTTTGAAGCCAGCCTGGGAATTTAGCCAGATTGTCTCCAGATAAAAACAAAAAAGGCAAAAAGACTAGAGATAGAGCTCAGTTGGAGGCCCTGGTTTAATCCACAGCGTCCCAACACACAGCACAACACCTGTTGTTTGGGAGACAGTGGTTCCATTATGGGAACATGATGGGTCCTGAAGCCAAGCACACAGAGCTTCCTTTTCCCTTGTCTCTCAGACTCCAGGGGCCTGAAGCCGGTGCAGGAAGACACGCCACAGCTGATGCGCACGCGCAGTGACGTTGGGGTGCGTCGCCGTGGTAACGTGAGAACGCCTAGTGACCTGCGGCGAATCCGGCGCCACCGCTTCTCCATCAACGGCCATTTTTACAACCACAAGGTAGAGTGGGTGTGGGAAGGCCAAAGGGTTGAGCCAGGTGTTTGCCCTGCAATGTTTGCGTTGTTGGTGGGGCGCAGGCTCTGCTGGCTGTGAATGTTGGGGAGCCCAGGTCTGGGGAAGCCCTAAGGTGGTAGATGACCTCAGGGTGCAAAGCCACGGGCGCCTTAAACACGCTTGAGAACCATCCCCTGCGCTGCCCTCCTCTTGGTCTGCCTTTCCCGTGAGCTGGGGGCTGCCCTGAAGCCCAATGGTGTCCAGCCGCTGCTGGCCCTCCCCACGCCCCCTGGCACTGCCTGCTGCTGGGCTCAAGTCCGGCCCCAGGAGCCAGCGCGTGGAGGGGCTGGAGGCCTCCAGGACGTGAACTGAGTTGCCCATCCCCAAGGGCCGTCTACGCCAGCATGCACTGCACAGCGTAGGCACCACTGCCACCGTGGCCCCTCCTTCCTGGCCTTAGTGTCCCGGGTCTGTGCCCACACACACCCTCACCCCAAATCCTCCGTTCACAGACGTCGGTGTTCACGCCTGCCTATGGTTCAGTCACGAACGTTCGCATCAACAGCACCATGACCACCCCGCAGGTCCTGAAGCTGCTGCTCAACAAATTTAAGGCACGTTCCCTACTCAGGCAGTGTGCCCTGGGGACTCTGGGAGTGGGGGGTGGCGGGCTGTGGAGAGAAAGAGTGGTTTGGGGGTGCCTGGCAGAGGATGAGGCTCTTTAGACCTTCTTACATTTCAAGGCGCTGGCATGACCCAGAAACATGTTAGAAAATCAGATGCTTCTTACATTTCAAGGCGCTGGCATGACCCAGAAACATGTTAGAAAATCAGATGCTGCCTGGTGTTCTGATGCACACCTGTAATCCTAGTACTTGAAAGGCTGAGGCAGGAGGCTCTCCAGAAGTTTGATTTTTTTTTTTCCCCTTGGTACTGGAACCCAGCTCAGGGCCTCATGCTTGCCAGGTAGGCAGTATGCCACTGAGCTATATCCCCAACCTTCACTAGAAGTTTGAGGTCAGCCTGGGCTATACAGAGAGACCCTGTCTCTATAAATAAATAAATAGAAAAGAGAAAAAACAAAGCAGAGTTTTAGTCCCGTTCTGGACCTACTAAGTCAGAAACTTCCAGTAAGACCAGGAAGCCTGTTCCAGGGACCTGTGGGAACCAGGCTGTCCACTGAAGTTTGATAAGCCTTGACCCTTTGAGGAAGGGTAGTTTGAGAAGCAACTAGCCTAGAGCCTGACCTCTGCCTTTGGGCTCAATGCAGGAGTTAACTTCCAAGACACAGCAAGGAACTCACTTTGAAAAGTCATACTTAAATGTGCAGATTATTCAGCATTTGGGAGGCTGAGGCAGGAGGATTGCCGTGAGTTTGAGGTAGACTTCAGTTCCAAAGTGAGTTCAAGGCCACCGTGAACTACATGGTGAGATCTTGTATCAGATAAACGAAAAAAGATGTGCGAATTACAATGATGAGTGCATTTGAAGTTCCTGCTACTCTGTTTTTTCCACAATCCTTTTTCATTCTCTTTGAGGCAAGATTCTTTCTGATTTATTTGAGATGGAGTCTTGCTGTTGCCCAGGCTGGTCTCACGTTCCTGGGCTCAAGTAATCCTCCTGCCTTAGCTTCCTAAGTAGCCAGGACCACAAGCCTGTGCCGTGATGCCCAGCTAGTATTGTTTTTAATGGGAGCCCCTGTGTCCTGGAATAGAGGCTCTGGGTTTGAATCCCTGTTCCTCCTGTTAGCTGGCTGAGTGGGCAGGTGAGTCCAAGTCCCTGTGTCTCTGCTTTCTCATGCATTAAAGGAGGACCATGAGCAGGTGTCCCGGGTGTGACGTGAGCACAACCACAGGAACCGAGCAGAACATGACATTACAGTAAATCTGGACTCTGAAATGCTTCAGAAGCTGACATTTTTTGAGTACTAATCTGACACTCAAAAAATTTCAGATATTGGAGCATTTCAAATTTTAGACTTTTGGATGAGGGATACTCGCCAGTAAAGTCTGAAAAACTCCAGGATCTGAAAAGCCTCTGGGCCCAAACATTTGAGAGGAACAAACAGCCTGTATCAGCACTGTGCTGAGTTGCCCGCACACCTCTCATCCCCTCTGAGGGCTGGGCACAGACACCCTCCTCTCTCCAGCCCTGACAGGGCTGTGGGGTTGGGGCTGGTGGAACAGCCCAGCGCGGGATTTCAGTACAAGCTTTCCACTTTTGCTTCTGATTCAGATTGAGAATTCCGCGGAGGAGTTTGCTTTGTACGTGGTCCATACCAGTGGCGGTAAGTCTGCAGAACACAGTGTACTTTAAAACTTTTGATTAACTCAAAATAGCAAGTTTAAAAAAACAAAGCAGAATAAAGCACCTCTGCCTCATTCAGTTGTACTGGGTTTGGAAACTTTCAGATGTTGTTGGCTTCCAAGGTTGGTGGTGGGCTTGCTGGGTAAGTCCCGTGGGGAAAGCCATATAAGAGCGGTAAACAAACCCAAAACCAACTGCCTGTTAAAAAAGGACTGGGCTTTCTCGAGAGACATCTAAACCCATTTCTTCAAAGAGGCAGCTTCCTAGGTGTTTGAGGCACAGTAGCGTTGTCTCGGGCAGAGGCATGGGGAGGGGTTGCTCTTAGCAGCATCTGTGGAATATTCCTCTACGCATCAATCTCCTGCCTTGTGCGGCCTTATCGCCTAAAGTACAAAGTCAGTCGGGAACCCCCAAGCTGACCACTTCCTGCGGTGAGAAAGGCCCCAGGTCAAACTCGAGGCCCTGTCGTTGTGGTTTCAGAGAAACAGAAGCTGAAGGCCACTGATTACCCGCTGATCGCCCGCATCTTGCAGGGCCCCTGTGAGCAGGTTTCCAAGGTGTTCCTGATGGAGAAGGACCAGGTGGAGGAGGTCACCTATGATGTGAGTGCCCCTGGTTGGGCGGTCTGGTCTCAGGAGGATGGGGATGTGGCTGGGTAACAGTGTGACGCTTTGGCCAAGAAACATGTCCACTTTTGGTGCCATTTTTCAATACCAGCTTTAATGAATTGCTTGAGTCTTTCCAGGGAACCATAACCAGTTAGAAAAGCTTTATAAACACTCTTAACAGGATCAAAAAAATAGCTGTAGCTGGGCCTGGTGGTACATGCCTGTAATCCCAGCACTCTGGGAGCCTGAGGCAGGAAGATGGCAAGATTAAGCCCAGCCTAGGCAATTTAGTGATTTGACAAGACCCTCAGCAGAAAACAGTTTGGGAGTATAGCTCGTGTGAAGATCCTGGAGTCAATTTCCAGTGTGAGAAGAAAAATAAATTTGCAGTGATTAAACCTCATCTGTGTGTTAGTCAGCTTTTGCTGCAGTAACAAACAACCCCAGTCTCAGTAGCTTACAACGGCTTTCACTTCCTGATCCTGATCCTGCTGGCTGGCAGCAGTGGCTCTGCTCTGGGCTGTGGATTGAGATCAGGTCTGCACTGTGTTGTATTCAGAGGTCCAGGCGGGAGGGCAGTGGCCCCATGGGGTTTGCTCCTTTTGGCTGACTGCCAGGCCAAACTGCAACACATGGTTAAACCTCCACCTACATTTCACAGACAGTGTAGAACAATTGGTTGATTTTTGCCCCTGGAGAATAAGGCTGTATTTACTATTCCCCATAATAATAATTAGCATGGTAGTAGTTTATATTAAACACTTACTGTGGCTCCAACCTTAACTGTGGCTTTTGCTATGCAGTGTAATGCCAGACATTAAGGATGTGTCTCCGAGATTTGCTCTGAACAGTAAAACAGTTAAAGCAATAGTCACATGTGCCTGAATCCCACTGGCCAGAGCTCAACATTAACGTGGGGCAGGGCAGGGCGCAGTTAGGCTGGTCCCATGGAGGCAACTGGAACTGGCAGAGGTTCCAGAGACCGAGGGGAAGCCCTAGCTTGACGGTAACTGGCCCCTGAGCCACTCCTCGGCCCCAGGAAGTACTCATTTGGATCCCTGTCTGAAGAGCAAGAGCTACAAAGCACCATCCCAGGCACAGTTCCTTCTGTTCCTTTGTGGGAGAACAAAGAACTCACTTAACTATAATGAGTTCAGTTCTTTCTCTGCATCATTGTCTCAGAAGCAGGTGCTTTTTTAACATTAAAATCATGGGTTGGATTTGTAAGATGAAAGATGAGAAGTGCCATCTCACTGTATAGTTCAGGCTTTCCTTCAACTCACTGTGTACCCCAGGCTGGCCTCCAAATCACAGCAGTCTTCCTGTTGCAGCCTCCCAAGTGCTGGGATTACAAATGTGAGCCCCCACACCCCCATGTCTTCCTTGAGAAGGATGAGGCGTGGCCCTGGTCTCAGAGGGTGACCTGGGTTAGGGGAAAAGAAGTCTCGAGCCTTGCAGGAGACCGAGGGCAGAGGGAATGGGAGGCTCTGAGCCCCACAGCCGGGTCCCTTCCTCCTCCACAGGTGGCCCAGTACATCAAGTTCGAGATGCCAGTCCTGAAAAGCTTCATCCAGAAGCTGCAGGAGGAAGAGGACCGCGAAGTGAAGAAGCTGATGCGGAAGTAAGCAGGGCTCGGGGTGCTGCTGGCTTCGCCCGACCTGGGGAGCACAGCCTCTGTCCCCCACCTGGCAGGGACACCCACGTCATGCAGCAGGTCTCCTGGGTCTTTCAGGAGGGAGGATCAGCCTCTTGGGTGGGGATATGGGATTTAAGCTGGGCTTTCCTTATCTTGTGTCCTTGTCTTCTTTTGATTAAAATCTCTTTTTCTCCCCCCTTTTATGAAAGAAACTTTAAAAGAAAGCATTGGCTTAAAATCTGTAGTCTAGGTTCAGAAATGGGAGAGGTGACCTTCCCTGGGGGTCACCTCAGAGACAATGTTTCCACTCTTTTTTTAACACTGATGTCTGGGAAATTTCATGTGGGTTGAAACCATTAGGAATCTTCTCTCTGGACTTTATGATTCCTTCGCCATGTCTAGTTACACAGCAGACTACATTTCACAGACAGTGTAGAACAATTGGTTGATTTTTGCCCCTGGAGAATAAGGCTGTATTTACTATTCCCCATAATAATAATTAGCATGGTAGTAGTTTATATTAAACACTTACTGTGGCTCCAACCTTAACTGTGGCTTTTGCTATGCAGTGTAATGCCAGACATTAAGGATGTGTCTCCGAGATTTGCTCTGAACAGTAATGTCCACGCCCATCTCTGTGGTGTCGGCTTCAGGGAACTGATCTCCTGCTCATCCTGTGGCTCTTGTCTCTTGTCTCTTGCCAGGGAGAGGCCCCGGTGTAGGCACCTGAAATGCAGGTGTAGGCTGAACCTGGTGAACTGGCCCTCTCGGTAGCCCCCCAGAGGGACAGATGTTGGCCATGTCCCCTGTCACTGCCTAGCTGAGGGTTCATGAGCTGCTGTGATGTATAAGGACCATGCATAGTGCCTTGGGCATAGCGAGCTCTCAGCTCATGGACATTTTACCACTGCTCCTCTTATTTTCCCATTTACAGAAGTCTCTTTCCCCCTGCTTATCATGGTCTTGGAAGTTTACATTTGTAATCCCATGGAAGTTACTGGAATTCTAGCAAGTTAATTCAGTTTACCACCTCCAGTGCAACCCACAGTGAGAAAAAGACACTGAGTCATGCTCGTCGTTATGGGGAGCCAGGGGTCCTAAGTCTAGCCAGGATGGGGTTTCAGCAGGATGAAAGTTCATCAGAACAAAAGCCAAACCCAGGGCCCAACACGGGCTTTATTCATTTGTGAAGAAGGGACTGACTAGAGGATGAGCGACTGTGCGAATGGTGGGAATTACGGGAGTACCGTGTGCTGGGCTGGCTAGATCAGAAAGCATCTCTGCAGTGTGCAGCGAGAAGGGTGTGCAGAAAGACCAGGCTGCATAACACAAGTGAGGTAGTGTTTCATGTTAGAAGGCTGGTGCTTTACTTCTGTGTGCAAACATCTTCTGTCCTGGGAAGTCAGAGCCTCTTAGTTAGCTCAAGGCTCCAACCCAGTTGACAGCCCTGGAGCAGTGCGGCTCTGCCGTCCCACTGGGCTCAACCGTTTAGAGGGAGACACTGAGGTGAGGAAACAGGACTGTCACCTGGTTTCAAAGATCACACATCAGCACCTCAGCAGGCCCTATTTACATTGCTTAGAGCCAATTGAAGGGAAAAGGAAACCAGCTCTGTACACATCAGTACATGGAGACAGGGCCAGGTTTAGTCAAAGTGGAGGTAACTGCTCTTTACCGTCCAGATAGTCTTCACCCATTTTCCAAGACTTCCTGGCCATAGTGAAATAGTCTGATTTGGATTTGGTCTCTTTGTTCCCTCTCGTTCTGGTGTGGAAGTGAACACAGCAGTGAATAGCTATTGAGCGGGCCAGGGAAGGCAGCAAAGGGAGAGGCCTGCTGTCACCCAGGCCCTGGTGTGGGCTGGTGCCCCTGGCAGGCTTGGTGGATTATCTCAAGGACAGGTCTGTGGCTAGCTGCCCTCCACTACAGGATGTTTCTTGTCCCCAGGTACACCGTGCTCCGCCTAATGATTCGGCAGAGGCTGGAGGAGATAGCAGAGACTCCGGCAACAATCTGAGCCACAGGAATGGGGGATCCAGGAACCCCAAGGGCTCCCACTGACCTGAGAAGACCCACCGGAAACTGGGTGCTCCCCTGCCATGGCAATGCTTATGTGCAAGCCACAAGCCAGCCTTTGCTCCCTGGAACAGGAGGAGAAGCCAGTGGGCCACTCCCTGTCCCTGGATCCCTGCTCTCTTACTGTCACTTGCGAGGACTTTTGATTTTAATTCTAAGGACCGGCTGTGTATCTAGACATGTGTGAGGAGATGCATCTGTGTCCCTCTGATGTTTCAGCACGTGGTGCCCTGCAGCAGCCGGCTCCAGCCGTGGAGGCTGGCAGGTCTCTGCCTGCAGCAGGAGAGGCAGAGGAGGACTTCAGGCTGAAGATTTCTCCTCTTACAGGCCAGAGGCAGCCACAAGAATCTGCCCAGGTTTAGAGGGCGAAGAAGGCTTTGCAAGCTCTCCATGTGGGGCACCTGTGTTGGTGGAGATTCTCTGTATGCCTGAAAAGGTCAGTGAGTGTGAGATCTTTGGAAATCAAAAGATAACAGTCTCATAGCCTTGTCTGATGGTGAGAAACAGAAAGATTGCCCTAGGTAGATGGGACAAATCCACAGTTTTTACACTGGAAACTGCTTGCTTTAAATAACAAAGATGAATGTGCCAGTCCATGTGGATGCTGGAGAAGGACAGATTTTGCTTTGTTCCGCCTCCGCCTCGCAGAGTTGGGAACCCCGTGCTTCCTTGGGCTGGAGGAAAGTCCCAGGAAGCAGAGGCCTCACTGGGCGCACATGGTGTGCTCCCTGTGGCCTGGCTTGTTCCAAGAAGGTGGCCGGGAAGTTTCCAAGCCCCTCCTTAGAGCTGAAGGGAAGGGCAGAGGCCCGGCAGCCCAGCCTGTCTTCAAGTCTTCCTGCGCCCGGAGCTGGACCGCATGTTTGAGCTTTCTTCTCTCCAACCTCTGGATTTTTGCAAATTCCTCACTCTGTGTGTGGAACCTGGGCCTTGAGCACTTGGGCCCTGAGCAAGAGCACTTGTCCAGCTGAGGGGCAAGTGTGGGGCTCTGGGCAGCTCTGGTGGGGGTAGCCCAAGGCTGGAGCTTATCTCACTTCCGAGAGATCAACTGGTCTCTAGAACAGCCTCAGTGAGGCTGCAAGGTGGGGACGTCTATCCCTGGGCTCCTGTGTGGCAATGCCCTTTGAAGGACAGCAGAGGCTTGGAGCCCACATGCTGGGCTGTGGAGATAACTGAGCAGGACTGGAAGCTCCTAACAGCTCCAAGCCTCACTGGGACAGGAGAGCTGCATGTCTGTCCCCCTGCTCCCTGGGATGGCATGGAGGCCTGGACAGCTGGGGAAGGAGAACCACTGGCCAGAGCCTCCAAAAGATGATGGGCCTTGGTGACAGAGCCATTCCTGTGCCTCCAGCCTGCTCCTGGGCTTCTGCAGCAGCCACACAGCTGTGTCTAACTGTATGCTCTCAGTACATGGGCTGCCACCCCCAGGCCAGCTTCCTCCATGGGGACCACACGGCTGGCCCCGTGGGTCTTCTGTCAGTCACAGACCTCAGTGGGCATCTGTAAGGTGCACAGAATGGGGTGAAGTGGGGCTTCCATGGTCACAGATATAAAAGAGCAGTTTTGGGAGTGCAGATGCACCCACCCCCGAGCTCTGCTTGGAGAGTTTCTGCGCTGGCTGCGTTGGTCATGAATGTCCAAGGCCTTGGTTGCCCCAGTAATTCTCCTTTGGGGGTAGAAGGGAAAAATTTTCACCAAGTAAATTTTTAACCACTAACTGTTACAGACAACTACTTCTTCTGGTTTTAGAAATTCTCTGTGAATTACTCTTATCAGTGCAGTAGTGTTCAGTGAAAATGTCATAAAATGCCCATTTTGCCAGATCTCTGAGAACGTGATACCAACGCAGCCTTGACTTTCTAAAGTGGGGGTTCAGTAGCAGGAGGAGGGGCGTGTGCTTTACACTATACACTTTTACTAGTGCAGGCCACCCTTTGCTATTTTGGCCCATTTCTTGGAGATCATTTCTTATACTCTAATAATCTGATGAAGAAATGTAGCTGGGTGTGGTGGTGAATGCATGTGTTTGAGAAGCTGAAGCAAGAGGATCTCCATTAATCTCAAGAGCAGCCTGGATTACATATCAAAAACCTGTCTCAAAGAAACGAAAACAAATGAATTTTGGAAATTTGGCCGAGAGTTCCAGCTCAGTGGTAGGGCACATGCTTAGCGTGCATAAAGCCTTGGCTTCAGTCCTCAGCATCAAAACAAACAGCAGGAGTTGGGAAACCTTTGGAACAGCAGCAGCTGAAACAGAGACTTCGCCGTGGTGGCGGGGCCCTGAGTTTCCCACTGGTATCGCATGGCCTTGCAGCCTTGAACCCCTGAACCAATTTCTACAGGCTGTATAACTGTGTGCAGTGAGCCTGAAACCGTGTGGACATCAAAAGCCAGTGTATAGGGTTCTTCCTAACTCGAGGAAAGCAGACCGCTGCAGCTGGCTTTCCCTTTTCTTTCCCCCGCTTTTTATTTTCTGTGCAAAGGTTTATATTACACGGTGATCAAGTAAAGGAAAAACCTGAGCCTTCCAGCTGGGGAGGGGGAACGAAGCGAAGGCCACACTCTCGGGGGTCACAGGAATGGGACTGTGAGGGCAGAGCCGAACCAAAAAGCACAAATGATAAGCCTACATGCTCTCTGGTCTCCAGGCTGGGTGGGCTTCAAGTGGAGGCTGAGGCAAGAGGGTCTCTGGGGAGACATCCCCCCAAAAAGTAGAGGGCTCAAGTCCAAGATTTTGGTCTTGATGTTTCCAGGAGAAATATTTGCACCTTTTTCCCTCCCTATCAAAAAGAAAACAATATTTTCTCCTAGAAACCAGAGAAAGACATTTTATTGTTGCAATGTGACATGCAAGGACATCCAAATCCATTCTGCCAGCAAAAACATTTTGGCAAGCGTTGTTTTCTGTGGAACTGAGGAGCTGTTTCAGTGCTCAAAAGAAAAGAGCAAGGAGTTTTTGGGAGAAGTCCTTTTACTTATTTATTTTTTGATACTGGGGTCTGGACTCAGGACCTTCACACGGAGCCACATCGCCAGCCCTTTTAAGACTTTTTATTTTGAAACTGGGTCTTGCTAAGTTTCTCAGACTGGTTGTAAACTTGTGACCCTCCCGCCTCAGCCTCCCAGAGTGCTGCAATTACAGGGGTGCCACCACACCAGGTTAAGAGAAGTCCCTTTACAAACAACAAAAACAAGCGGGAAAAAAGCCCAAATATTTTATTTCAAAGTTCTGTGACATGGAGAGGTTGATGTCCGAGATAATTTCCAAGAGAGAGGTTTCTGTGAGGTTGAGGGGCTTCAGCACCACATCGAGATGGACTTGTGACCTGAGGCATGGGAGAGGGGGCGGAGGAGACCCGCTGAATGCCTTGGCCATAGCAGCCTGCACTTCATGGTTTCTTAAGCTGCTTTACACAAAGTCCTGCTGCAGTTAGATGAGACATGATCTCCTAGAGCCTCGAGACCTGGTGCGTCCAAGATGTAGCTGAATGCCTGTCCCAGACAGCACAGAGCCTTGGGGTGCCCCCACATTTTAAGAGAGCAAAGAGATGCACACACTGTGAGGGAGGAGCCTCAGCTTCCCCCGACGGGTGGCAGCCCTGATGTTTCCTGCTGTGTCACTGCTCATGTTTCTTAAGGGTTCTCACGCGTGTTTCAGTTCTGTCTGTCCCTTCCCTAGCACGGCCTGCCTTTCAACAGCAGGGCCTGGCTCGGCCCGGTGTTTGGCTCCGAGCTGATATGCGGATGTGTTTAGGCATCTGAACATCATTTGACGAGGCCTCAGTGGAGAGCCGTACACTTCTGTAACCTTTTGGTATGTTTTAATGCACTGACTCTTAGATCTTATTAGAATAAAGCACTTTTTAAAGACGTCCCCTGGGTTGCTGAATCTGTAGGTTGGGGTGGGCTCTGCTGGGAGAAGTGGGGGGGCCTTGGGGACAGGAGTGTGAAGACCACCCAGGAGATGATTTTCTTTTTTTTTTTTTTTTTAATAATTTTTAAAAAATTACTTTGAAGGTAGTAAAATATAGCAGAACAAGACAGAACAAAGCCAGCTGAGACAGTGTAGTGAAATTGGTACAGAACTTCACAGCAGGTTACTGGGATAACAGTAGTAGGTATCACAGTATATCTCATTTTCACAATAATTGTTCTTTCAATCATGTATAGCAAAATAAAATGAACAGAACATTATAGAACTTATCAAAATTATTGAATAGAACGGTACCACTAATCAGAATAAAGCAAAACAGTAGTAAAAATATTTGCCTTCAAAGAGATGGTAGAAGGAAATCCCCCTTATTTGCTGTATTGCCTATGGTCAGCCTCCCTAGAGATGCTCAGATCTCTGGTTCCCATTTGCTAATGGGGGGGCAGGAGAAGGGGGTAGGGGAAGTGGGAGATTGACTATCAGCCTGTGCACTGGTAGGCTCACTATTGCTTAGCAAGGAGGCAGGCTGGTTGCTTGGTTTCCCAGTGCCCTAAGTTCCAGCATGGTGTGGATCTCAGGAGACACTGGTGGTTCTTGCCCTGGAGGGGCCGCAGCCGATAAATTGATTTTCTTACCCCAGAGATTGCATTTGTGTGGGCCAAGACCTGGCCATCAGGTTCTGGCCTGTCTGTTTCCTGTTGCTGTAACAAAATACCCAAGACTAGGTAATTCATAAAGAAGAGAGGTTTCCTTACGGTTGTGGAGGCTGGGAACGGAAGGGCACAGAGCATCCACTCGGCCTCAGGGCCAGGGCTTCCCCTGCACTTCACCGTGGCGGAGGGCACCGGATGGTGAGACAGAGCCAGTGTGCTGAAGAGTGTACTCTCTAGTTCTGTTTTCCTGTTCCTCTTTGGTGCTGGGCTGGAACCTGGGCCTTGGTGCATTGGCATCACAACTGTGCCAGCAGCCGCTGCCCTGCCTGAGCACTGACAGTGGGAACACAGTCACTGCTGCTGACCAGGGGCAGCAGGTTTTCACCACCTGGTCACCTCCAGATGTCCCAGCACTGGTATATGGGCACCGAGGTCCTCACATGTGGGTCTGGGGACACATTCAGATGCAGTGTGTCCCAGACTGATGAAATGATGTGTGCTCCTAGCAGAGTGTGAGGCCGCTGCCCGGGAGGCTGCGTTTACAGACCCTCCGCCTGGCCCTGAAGTCCCCAGTGGGCTTCGTGCTCAGCCTTCTAGGACTGGGCTCCCTCACTTGAAAAATCCCAGAGCTGCCCCACGGAGAGTGGGCCCCCAGCTGGCCTGGGCTGGAGGGAGCCCCAGTATCCTCAAAGGTGACCGAAACCCAATTTCCCCGCTAAAGCAGGGTGGTCAATCCTGAGTTGGTCAGCCAGGGCACCCAGACACTTGGTCAAACACTGGTCTTGTTATTTCTAGATGAGGTTAACATTTAAATCAGCAGATGGGCCTAGGATGCCCTCCATAAGGTGAGTGGTCTGATTCACTCCTAAGCAAAGAGATGGAAGGACCCTGAGGCACAAAGAACTCTGCTTCCAGCCCGCCTTTGGGCTTGAATTGCACCCTTGATCAAGTGAGCCAATCCTTAAAACATTCTCCATCTACATACAATTTGTGTGTGTGTGTGTGTGTGTGTGTGTGTGTGTGTGTGTGTGTAACCAGGGCAGTCAGACCCCCACATCCACAGGTTCTGTATCACTGGGTTCAGTCAACTGTGGGTCAAAAATAGTGAAAACAAAAACAAAAGCCAGGCATGGTAATGCACACCTGTAATTCCAACACCCTGGGAGGCTGGGGCAGGAGGATCACAGTTATGAACCCAGACCTGGGCAACTTAGTGGTTTATCAAGGACCTTGTCTCAAAATCAGCAGCGGAGCTAGGTGAGATGGGTGCACCCAGTAACCCTAGCACTCAGGAGCTGAGGCAGCTGGATCATTGCAAATCTGAGGCCAATCTTGGTTACATGTGAATTCAAGGTCAGCCTGAACTACATAGTGAGATCCTGTCAAAAAAAAAGACAAAAGAGATTAAAATAAAGATTTCTAGGAAGCTCCATAAAACAAAACTTGAATTAGCTGTGTGAAGACCCTCCTGTCTCTGGAAATCATTCAAGCACAGTTTCCCTTACATCGTCTGTGTAGTCAGATCATTGATGGCTACACACAAAAGAGTGCATACTTTTTGTTGTCTTCGTTCCCTAAACAATACTGTAGAACAACTATCTCCGTAACAGCTTACATAGTATTAGATACTCTAAGTCACTCAGAAAGCCGGGTATGGTGGTGTAACCTGTAACCCCAGCACTTGGGAGGCTGAGGCAGGAGGATTGCTGTGAGTTTGAGGTCACCTTGAGCTACAAAGTGAGTTCAAGCCCAGCCTGAACTGCATAGTGAAAGCTTGTCTCAAAAAGACACATAAATAAAAATAAAAAAACAATCACCCAGAAGTGATTTAAATTTGCAGGAGGATGTGTGCATGACAGAGGAAGAGAAAAACACTGGATAAGTTGGTTCCTTTTGAGTGTTATTCTGATTTCCTGTAGAGTTTAGTCAAAAGATGGCCTTTTGGTTGGCACATGTATTAAACTGAGAGGCGCAGATGGGCAGGCAGGCGACTCCTCCCAGGCAGGGAGATGTGGTCCCTGCACCTCAGGGATGGAGGGAATACAGACAAAATGGTTTGCTTGGGCTCACCAAGCAGTGAGCCTTGCAGAGGTTTAGATGGCCCCCATCTCACCCCACAAATACCAGTAGCCTTCTGCCAAGGTCGCTGACAGCTCTTGGCATGCTTTTATGAAATGATTTGGAATTGTCTATTTTAGGTAATTAAGTTACTACGGAGTGGTTTATTGTAACAATACCCTACTGTGAAGAACATGTTATTGTAATGCTTCAGTACAAGCAAACTCTACTGAAAATTGAATTTGGGTAAAATTGACTGCTGTTTTCACTTTAAAACCATGCAAATTTTTTTAAAAATGTGGTTTCAGTTAAGTATACATATTATATAAATATGTTAAGCATGTTATATAAGTTAACTCTGTATGAGTAATAGATTACTGGTTTGTAGTTAAGGTTAGAAGTTTTAACACTATGGGGCCGCAGGCAGGGACCATGGGTCCTGGTTAGCTTGGGTCATTTCCAGGTTATGTCTGCTGTTCTAGTGTAGCTATTAAAGCATTTCCTTTGACTCCGAAAAGCTCTCTGGATGACGAATATGATCACTCTACTGAATGCCCAAGGAGCAGCTTGTAATTTTAATAACAAGTTTTAAAGAAGCAGCCATAAATTTGAATTGAAATAAACACAGGTCTTGAAAGAATACAAAATATAATGTGGCTATTTATATACCAATGCTTTGTTAATGCCGATTTAAATGTTCTTGCACTAGCATAAGGTGTACATATAGGTATATATGGAATTTTAAAGTCAGATGCATTGGCGTTAACTAATGACTGGCTTTTTTTTTCCTTTTTTTGTTTTGTGTTTTTGAGACAGGGTCTTATTATCCAGTTCAGGCTGACCTTGAACTCACTTTGTGGCCCAGTCTGTCTGGACCTTGCACGATCCTCCTGCCTGAGCCTCCCAAGTGCTAGAATTACAGGCATGTGCCACCACACCCAGCTATGACTCTGGTTTTTATTCTTATTTTTTTAAAAAAGTATTTTACCAGCTTTACAGAGGTATTATTGACAAGTATACATGGTATCTACTAAAGCCACCGAGCTGGATGATTTGGTATACACTGTGAAATGGTTACTACAGTCACACTGACACAGCAGAACCAGAGAGGTACAGTTGTGTCTTGGGCGTGGTAAAGATACTCCTGTTCTACTTTCCTGGCAAATTTTAAATAAAAAATGCAGTAATATTAGTAATTATGGTTACCAAACTGTACGTTAGATCCCTAGAACTGATTCATCTTAGAAGTCAGAGTTTGTAGGCTATTTGGGGGCGATATCACACCCAAAGCACAGGCACAAAAACCAAGAATGGACAAGTAGGACTACATCAACCTCAAAAGCTCCTGGCAGCAAACAAGCACCAAGATGAAAAGACAACCTAGAAATGGGAGAAAACATTTGCGAACCACTTGTCTGGTGAGGCTACTGTCAGAAGCATCTCAAGTCCTCTTGGTGAAGAACTGGCCGCCAGCCCCGTCCCGCCTGCCGAGCTGGCCCTGCAGCCAGTGCCTGGAGAAGCTCGGGGCTGGCCTTAGTGGCTCTGTGCGCCTGAGCCCTGAGCCTGGAGCCTGGAACTAAGTATCTGGGGCAGTGGAAGTCAGGATTCTTTTGGGGCTGACTCCTAAGTAGCAAGTAAACTGAATTTTAAAATAACGGACTCAGGTGCCTTCTAGGACTGGAAAACGCTGAAATAACATGGCGGAGTAGAAGCAATTTTAAGATTTCCCTCAGAATTTCCCCATCTTAAAAAACCCCAAGGGCACTGAAGATCCTCATGGACCCCAATGCCAAAGACAGTGCTTTTGACTCTTAGTCAGACTCACCTGGGGACAGAGTCCCTCTCCCCCCTCCTGTCCCAGCAGGTGGCAGTGCACTGGGACTTCGCCTCTCCTGCAAAGCAGATAGTAGCTGACAGAAGCCACAGTGACATGGGTCTCACTGAATCTTGCATCTCATCACCAAGGGTTTTTAAAGCATTGGTGTCTGGAGGCCACACTCGGGGACTTTGATGTCATTCTTCCGGATGTGGCTTTGTGAAAGAATTTTTACCACAGTACCTGCTGCCTTGTTCCTGTGTGCCCTGATTTGAGAATGCCTTCAAATGATCCTGAAAGTTTCAGAATCCAAGCAATCCTAAATAATGAAGCAACCTCATGCAAAAACATTTAAACATGATAAAACCACTAGGATGGCTCTAAGATTGCTAAATGCTATTAAGCAACCCTAAAT